GAACATTAAAAATAATTGCTAATCACCTTGTACTATTTTGAGGGAAAAGTTCGACGTGGTTAGTTTACGACGAAGGATTGATAATAGAACATGGTATGTATATGTACAAAGAAACCACAGACAAACATGCCATTTAACGTTCCTTTCTTCATCGTTGGGTCACCGTTCAATGGGTGATTGTAGTCACTTGACATCAAGTTTTTTAAATCAGGAGGCTTCATATTATAAGAATCAATGTTTATGTATGTGTATTTTATGCGCCATAGTTCATCCTGTCATCATAAAATTTTGTTTACACGTTGCCAGGAATACAGCAAAAGACACGGGGTATGAAAATACCCCGTGTCTCCCAATTCGCATACTTACTTAGCCGGTGTTATAATCCAATAATGTACATTTTTGACGGGCCTGTTGGTCCCTTGATCACGATGAGCACGATCATTTGTTCTGTGTCTGAGTGTAATTTATCTATAGGTAATATATATTAGAAAAAGAAATATATGAGTATGTTCATTTCAGTCCGTGTGGTTCGTTCGTTGTCCGTGTAGTGACGGATTAAGAATACAGAGTGTCATCCCGTGGTTGTCGTAAGAGGCGACTAAGGGAGCAAACTACGCAAAACAACAGCACTGCAGAGAGAAAGAAAACTTTAAACCCTATACCAACCCGTCTGGCCAGCGTGGTATAGTAGGCCAAAGCCTCCTTTCTAAGGAGAGGTTTATGTCCAGCAGTGGACTATTAAAGGCTGTTGATGTGATGATAATGTGATTAGCAGTCTGGTTACCATAGTACAGGCTCTGCCTGAGGCTCTCTCTGAGGTATTATTATATTAATATCAGTGGTTCATACAGCAGATTTCATTTTACTATCAAAACACAAATGACGCATAATATACCTGTCTTAACGCTTACCTACAATCAAATCTAGTTGGTACATATGATCTTTGGACCTAGCGCCATAATAAATATGGCGGTGGAAGACAATTAAACGATAATTGAATAAAAACTGTGACCTTTGACATTAAACACGTCTCCCAGATTACTTAACAACAATAACTCTTTAGTGGCAAGTGAACTGGTCTAATACTGGACAAAAGTTATTTTATTATATACTGTACTGTATCTAAGGAGAGGCCTATGTCCAGCAGTGGACTAGTATAGGCTGTTGATGATTATATACTGTAACATTTGAAAACGCAAACTTTGTGTGAACATGTGTCGGATTTCTGGATAAAAAATGATGATGTTTTACGATATTTACACAACTCCATCTAGTCCCAAACTAAGCAGAGCTTGTACTACGGGAATTAGACAACTACTATAAATACATACATTATTTTGCAAAATACGCATATTATATCAGAAACATTCAGACCAAACCAAACATTAAATGTTCTTGCACACAAATGTTTGACTTGAGCGTTAATCGAACCCACGTCCTTTGCCGTAACAGTCCGTTGCACAAACCACTACACCATCCGGCCGTAAATATAATTACTCATTCAATAAATTTTTCGTAACTACGAATAAAGATTTCTTTGAAAGGTCTTCTCTAATGGTATCACTACGGCAGAGCCGGCCGGCCCATTTGTGGTGAAGCACAGCTCTCCCACGTTTTAAATGTATTTTTATTTTTTTCTACAAATCCGAGCTTTCAATCAATAAATTTGCTATTAATTACCCATACTTCCATTCGTTGCAGCCTGTCTTAATATTAGACATTTTACCCACAGCTTTGCTGGCCTAAGTAGCTTTTAATTCTTGGGTTTATAGTACAGGAATAACTCATCTAAAAAAAATTACTGATTCTGGTGTACATTCTGGTACAGGACTAACTTTCCTCCAAAATAACTGATTGGTGAAAAAAAGTATTAAAAATCACTAGTTTTCCTAGATTTTTTACTACATCCTTTTGTTCTTCTCAGCCGAAAGACGTCTTCTGCTGGACAGAACCATCCCCTCCAAGGTTAAAGAACTATTGCTACTATTGACGACTAAGTGACCGTGTAACATTGATATCATAGTAAATAATTGAAAGTTTAACCCTTTCTCATTATTTAGACAATAAAAGAAATCTAATATTACCAAGCGACCTCACGACATCTAGGACAACCGGGCATAAAGTATTTCCTTACATACCCTCTTATCTCAAAGACAAGTTCTTACACACCACAACTTGCAGGAACCTAAAGTAATCGGCGAATTTAAAACTACAAATGCGAAAACATTCCAGCCAGTTTGCAGACAAATCTTTTACTGTGCCAGCAATAAGACTCGAGTTTTTTATCTCTTTCCTGTGCGGATACCACCCACCGGTCGGGTGGTTATGTCGGACTCGAACCGACCAAAAACGCCGTCTCGGATACCAGTTGTCGGGGAACCAGGGTACCTCTCAGGACTCTGACTTAACTCCCGCGCCTCCTTGCGCCACTTATACAGAGCCGCAAGGGCTCTCGCCTCCAGATCCCACGGTGGAGTTTCGAATAGGAGACTTGCTGCATCAAAGGAGTTTGTGCGGTACCCCCTTATGACCCTGATGGCCATCACTTGCTGTGTGAAACAACTTGCCTCAGACACTGTTTTTTAAAAACGGCAAGCTAAAACCTTGCCTGTTTTTAAAAAACTATTAAAGGATTTTTATCTGCAATTATAAACACTATTAGATTAATTATAAAATATATTCTAAATGTGTGTATGTATGTGTGTGTATTTGTGTATGAATGTCTGTTGGTATTTTTCAATATTCACGTGAATACGTGACTATTAAATACCTAAAATCCCTATTATCGCTCACAGCGCTCTCTTCCAGACAACCTTGTCTGGAAGAGAGCGCTGTGAGCGATAAGACCGCCGATTGTTACGTCTACTTATTTGTAACTCATCTTTTGTTATTTTCTTTTTGAGTGTATAAAATAAAGATATAAATAAATAAATAATAAAAATAAATAAAGTAGGTTGTGGCTCTCGCGTGGCATAAATTTATAGAATAACGCCTCATAACCAATAGTTCTTCATCACTACTTCCACGTCCATTGTCCATTGTCACCACACTGACGAGTTAAGAATACGGATGGTCACCACCCCCATTCATCCCGTGGGTGTCGTAAGAGCCGACTAAGGGAGCAAACTATGCAGGTCAACAAAACTGCAAAGAGAAGGAAAACTTGACACAAACCCTATACCAACTCGTCTGGCCAGCGTGGTATCGTAGACCTAAACCTCCTTTCTAAGGAGAGGTCTATGTCCAGCAGTGGACTGTTAAAGGCTGTTGATGATGATGATGATGATGATGACATCTATGTCGTCATCTCACACACACATCACATATATGAAAAGTTCTGCACCGATTGAGCTCAAATTTTGACATAACTCACAAACTTCAAAGTTGTTTTATCTATTACTCGTAGTATTCACGTCATTTTTTTTCCTCATTTCTCATCGATGAACCCACAATGTGCCACAGTAAAGCGTGGCAGCTAGTTTTGTTTGTTACATTTAATAAATACAAAAAGTCCCCGCTCTATCCGTTTTCCTTCACCTCAATTTACCTTCTCCTATTGTCACCTCAGGAAACGATTATAATGCCCATTGGCGTAAGCAGTATAAAGGAAACAAACCAAAACCTTTTTCATTGTTACAAATTGCGCGGACGGCAGGATAACTATTCGGAAAATATAGGTAAAGAGTGAATACACATCATTATATTTATTATCGTTAAAATCGCCTTGTCAACAGTACAATAGCTATGCAGTATCGCGTACTGAAAACGATCGAATAGAACCTCTTCTAACTAGGTTACGTAAATGTAATTTCCTGCTCATTGTTCCAAGACCCTTGTCACATGCATTACATGCTTTGATAAGCTCTGGCTTACAATAACTAGACACGTATGTATGTAACCTATTGTTAGGTTAAAGGGTTGGGGAAATTATAATTCATGTTACCTGTTGGTGTTTGTAACACTTGATTCTAAAGCATCACTAACCGAGGGACTAGTGACTAAGTGGTAACCGAGTATGTTAACACATTGCAAAGTTAAGCTAGCTTAGCTAGGTCAGTCTATAGATGGGTGAAAATTTCTTAACACATTGAGACCCCGTGCCTCGGAGAGCACGTTAAGCCGTCGGACCCGGACATCTGTGGCAATCGTTACGGGTATTTGAAGCCCTACAAAAGTTCAACAAGTCTCTACAGAATTTCAATATCGCCTAGTACTTGGGTTATGTGTGTACTCGTCCGTGTGGTGACGGAATAAAAATACAATGTCACTACCCCTATTCATCCCGTAGGTGTTGGAAGAGCCGACTAAGGGAGAAAACTACGCAGAACAACAGCACTGCAGAGAGAAGGAAAACTTGACACAAACCCTATACCAAACCGTCTGGCCAGCGTGGTATAGTAGGCCAAAACCGCCTTTCTAAGGAGAGCTCTATGTCCAGCAGTGGACTATTGAGGGCTGTTGATGTGATGTGATGTGATACTTGGGTTATGGAGGTGTGAAGTTCAGAGAAACAAAATTCAGGACAAATATTCACTTGATCGCAAATGAGGTTAGGATTACAAGTATGCGACCCTGGCCTACTCGAGCTTATACTCCAATCCATCCAATGTTCATTCTCATCAGCTATGCCTTTGAAAAACAGATAGTTAACAGTGTATTCAAGACCAACGATAAGCTCCAATTTCAGTTCCCATTTAAAATGACCTAGCCCGTCTGGGCTTGACACAACCTCCATTCCTCCTGGATCCGCCCTTGTTCGTAATCCCAGGATTCAAGACTGGACTTGGTCATGCACGTTGCTCAGTTTAGTTCAGTTTACATCTTCAGAGTATTGAGGAAAAACCATCATAAAAGTTACTGTAACACCCCGGTTCTGGCAAGAGTGCTACGAGTATCAGTCATCACATCACTGCTATCGATGATGGATGGACGAAACTCACAGTGGATAATACGTTAAATAAAGATTAACTGTCTTTTAAATTAATTGTTTCTTGTTCCAGCCGTCAGTGATGCTATCGATATGGACATCAGAATTCCTTCAAGCCGTCTCTCGGATGGACCCAAAGTTCATAGCTCTCCACCTCCAGGAGGTCGGAGGGAAAGCCTACGAGAAATCCATGCAGTACGTGAAGGACTTCGTGCAAAGACTCTGTGACTGTCCCGAACTGAGGCTGTTTGACAAGATCAGGATATACCTTGATGAAGATTTCAGTTCACCGGAGAAGTTCACTGTAAGTATTATGCTATTGGAAAAAACCCTGCTATTTGAAAAAGTGGTAAAATAATAGGCTCATGTGTGCACCCCGTCACTTCCTGACTCATTTCGGACCTGACGGACGAGTTGTGGTTTTTTTTATGGTACCCCACAAACGACCAGACAGGTCACCTGACGATTAAATACTACCACTTTCCATGGACGCCTGCCATTCCAGGGTGACTGTGTATTGCCGCACTTTGAATCTCCTCTTCAAATTTTGTTTCAATTAGTATAACCAACAGTCATTACAAGCGCTCAAATATAAACATTCAAATTTTAAAATACTAGTTATGCATAACTACTTAAAGGTAACAAATGTACACTAAAATTAGGCAAATGACATTTAAAAGTAAACTTTATTCTTTGTATGATGTATACGTGAGATGATGTGATTGTTAGTGTGCGTGTGCGTTTGTGAGTGTAGCGTTTGACACATGTCTTCTGATCGGAGGTTTAGGATCTTGGTTCTCCTGTAAGCTTACTCACTCAATGAATAATAACCAAAGAATTGACTAGCAATTTTCTGGTGGTTTCCTCCGGTCGAGCCGGCACTTATGTGCCGAACTACGAAGCCACGGCGAAATATATTCTATAAACTAAACAACATCATCACAATTTGTTACCTGTGTATATTAAAGCCTCTTTTTATGGTTCCAATTTCAAATTATACAAGTACAGATTATACAAAGCTAAATCAATTTACATGATGCAATAAGTTCACTAATTGTTTGCAGGTAAATCTTAAAGAATATAAATGTTTTAGAAACAAGGGATCTTTGGCCATAAAAAAATACAGCCTCTTCCATATTGATAAGACCTGTTTGTCCCAGATGTTGGTTATGGATGCTTTTTTTTGCCGATTTGGTCAGAATATTATGGCCAGGTACTTATATATCATGTGTCAAATGGACAGTGTAGTGCAGAATAAATGCATATTTCGAACCTAGATTTGGTATAATTGCGATTAATTAAGATTTATCAACTGATGGATCACTAATCGTGGTTTAATGGCCGGTAATTTTATCACTAGTTTATCAAATTGTCACCGTCATTAGTCCGATAACTAGTAAAAGTGCGTTTCCAAACATCTCAGACAACTTGCATAAATTTATTTGACGTTTTATTTTAAGCATACTGATTTTCAGTTTTATAGACCCTCGCTGATATAGTCAATATTAACGAATGACTACTACACTACACATTATTAAAACATCGTCAGATCACTTACTTTTAGGACAAAATAGTAAATTTATTGTATCAGTAAACCCATTATATGTGGCGAATAAAAGTAATAAAATATTTTACTTAAAATTTCGAACATGAACCTCAGAAGGTTCTGCAACTCTTTATCAGTCGTAAAGTTGCGTTATTAGAAACTCAACTACGGTAAACCAAAGTTTATAACCAATAGTTAACTGCAACTTACCGCTACTTTTGTTTGCAAGGTGTTAAACTGGTTTTAAAGAAATCCTAAAAATACTCAGTACTTGGTCCGTCGGTTTGTTTACATTGTCAAATCCGTACATTGACCATGGGAGAGCCATGCTTCGGCACATACGGGCCGACTCGACGGGAGTAATACCACGGCTTCACAAGAAACCGTCGTTAAGCAATTCTTTTATTAGTTCACACCGAGTGAGTGGGGTTACCTCAGCCCAAATCTTACTCTTGATAGGAGGTGGACTCAAAGGGCAATAACGCACTTGTGACTATTTAGTTGCAGATGGGCGACGACAGTCACTTACCATCAGATGACACGTCTACTCGTTTCTCTCTAAACTAATAAAAAAACCAAGGCACACATGACATTGTGGTCCTTCGAGCCGGATTCGAACCAGCTATCTATGGAAAAAAATGAGTTAATAGCCTTCTAGTTCAATTATAAGAGATAAAGTAATAAGCTGACAAATACATAAATCAACAGCGACAGTTTAACTCGAATGCAGGAATGTGTTGAATTATGTATTATCGATTGGTACTTTAAAATGCCTATTTATTCAGTACGAGTATTGTAACTACACGCTGTGCATTTGCAGTGACGACCACAAACGTCGATTGTATTTTAATGGTAAGGAGGCAAACGAGCAGACGGGTTTCCTGATAGTAAGTAACGCTCATGAACTCACAACATCTACCTTCCTTATCCAAATATACTTTTTTCCTTTAACCCGTCTGAAAATTAATAATTGGAAGGCCCAAGGAATGTTGGCGTTAGGGAGACGGCCAGTCATAAAAGGCGCTAGACATAACCCTTTACAATGTCGTACATTGCATGGAACGGTCATAAAATACTGCACGGATGGCGTAGAGGTAAAAGGTATCCCCACATGGGACAACATTTTGTGTGATCCACAAATTGTAGTCGGAGTGTTTTTTGTGTCTGTTTCATGTATGTCTTCTGATATTTTGACTTTGACCTTGACTTTGAAACGAATTTAATAAATCCGGCGTTTGAGGTGTCCTTAGATTCGTCTTATTATAATTGTGAGAGACACTATATATATGAAAATTATAAAAAATTTAAAGCAGTTTCAGCAGTCGCGGGTTTTTTTTAATGTTTATAATGTGTTCTTCTGATTTTAGGCTCTTGGCAATTTGTACTTCGCACATTCGTCTCTCACCGAATTGAAGATGTGGGACTTTGAGCTAAAAACCTACGTGGAGGTGACTGGCAAAGAAGTTCACTCCGGCAATATCGAGAAAGTCACCACGAAAGAGAAGGCGAAGTTTCCTCAGCATTTCTTTCCAGAGGTATGGTTTTCCTTCATCATCATCAACAGCCTTTATTAGTCCACTGCTAGACATAGGTCTCTATTTAGAAAGGAGGTTTTGGTCCACTATATATCATGGTGGCCAGACGGGTTGGTATAGGGTTTTTGTCAAGTTTTCCATCGATTTGTTGTGCTATGGTCAGGGCCATAGGACAACAAAGCGATGGTAGGTCGTAGTTTGCTTCCTTAGTCTCGACACCCACGAGATGAATAGTGGTCGTGACACTCCATATTATTTAGACAGACAGACAGATACACTATCGTATTTATAATATTAGTATGAATAGCGGCAACAGTAATAGTATTTTTTTTTCTTGTTTCAGTGTAAATGGTCGCGGAAAGGGTTCCTCCGTACACGTTGGTGGTTGCGCGGCACCGCCATTGAGTTCGTCAACATACATCTGTTCCACGACGCGTCCAACTTGGTAGCCATCGAGACCTTCCCCTCGGTAAGATACTTACGACAAATAAAAACTGATTTTAAGACTTTATTCTGAAGAGAAGAACCTCCATTTTTGTGTTTTTGAAGTGGGTAATAATAATTAGGCTATTAATAAGTATCACCGACTTCAAAACGCCTACATAAAAATAAATTATTTATTATTCTTTGTTACCCAATTTACCACACTTAGGGTTAATATTTTTACTTCAAACTTAAATGGGACCAAATGAAGAGTATACTTGCCCAAATAATAAAAGTTATTTCCAAATACGAACCGTAAATGACTATTCGGTGGTAACAAACATAAAAGAGAAAACAAGGAATTTGCATAGCATCTGAAAGAGAAAGAATGTACAGCTAAAATCAAATATACACCAGCGGTAGTTAGAAAAACCGGCTAATTGCGAGTCGGATTCGCACACGAAGGGTTCCGTACCATTATATATAAAAACGGCAAAAAATAATGTCTATAATGTCATGGGCCACTTAAATATTTGTTTTATTTTAATTTAACTATTTATTTATAAAGTGAATATATAACTAAATATTCTGTGAATATTTCAAGCGTCTACCTGTTGCCGTTACCAAGCAAAAAAAATACGTTTGTTGTATGGGAGCCCCCTTAAATATTTATTGTATTTTGTTTATAGTATTTGTTGTTAAAGCGGCAACAGAAATACATCATAAGTGAAAATTTCAACTGTCTAACTATCACGGTTCATGAGATACAGCCTGGTGACAGACAGACAGACAGACAGAAAGCGGAGTCTTAGCAATAGGGTCCCGTTTTAGGGACTTGCCATTATGTGGTTTTGGGGGCCGAACCCTACCGTCTACACTACCAGTATATGAATCCATTACTAATACGTTAGTTTAGTTAAACAACTATAGTCCATTCGCGATAAGAAAATAGAGAGGCATCGATCAAACCCCGCGCCCTGACCAATAAGGTTCCAAGAATAATCGTTTCGTATGAAAGTTTGAAACCAGATTGGTCAGAGGGCAGCACTAGATCGTGACGTCACTTTTTTCTTAAAGCGAATGGAATATAAAATACTATTATAATAGGATACATATTTACAGAATTGTAATTAAATAATAATCATATTATGTAAATTAGTAGAATATTCTGAAATATTCGATAGGTACATACTAACACCCCACTAGTTAGAACGGTATTGTAACGACCGGATGGCGTAGTGGTTTGTGTAACGGACTGCTATTCCAAAGGTTGCAGGTTCGATGCCCAAGTCAAACATTTGTGTGCATGAACTTTTAATGTTTGATTTGGTCTGGGTGTTTCTATGTATAATATGTATGTATTTACAAAAAAAAGTATATATGTATTTATATCAGTTACCTAGTACCCATAGTACAAGCTCTGCGTAGTGTGAGACTAAATAGCGTTGTGTGAGACTAAATGGCGTTGTGTGAATGTGGTACAATATTATTATTAATATCGAAAACCTTAACACTTGGTTTATCTAACTTTCAGGTGTATTGCCGCAGCAGGCGCCGTGCTCTGTGCCACACCCTGCGTCACCTTCACTCGGACGTCAACGCAGCCCCCTACTTCATCTTCGGAGATTTCAACTTCAGAACTGATACTGCTGGAGTGGTCAAGGTCAGTAACATGAGCTGGGGATATTCTAGGACCTGTAACGGTTATTTCTGCTTTGATGCTGAATAAATAATGCCTTCAAAATAGAATTAAAGTATTTAATGTCGTAGAAAATACAGGTTTATTAAATAAAAATCGATTAACTTTTGATATTGCAAGCAAATGTGAGAGCTATATTGTAACACTATTAAACTTAACATAATATGTAATAATTCATAAGTATATTGTTAGTTACTATCAAACCTAATATTATAAAGCTAAAGAGTTGAATTGTTTGTTTTGGTTGAACGCGATAATCTCGGGAATTACTGGTACAAATTGAAAATTATCTTTTTATGAAATAGGGGAAAACTAGCAGACAGGTCACCTGATGGAAAGTGACTACCACAGCCCATTTATGTCAAGTGTGTTGTCGGAAAGAAGTACACTCTTGAAGGTTTGGAGGTCGTATCTCTATACATATATAGGTTGGTGTCAAGTTTTCCTTCTCTTTGCAGTCTCTTGCGTAGTTTGCTCCCTTAGTCGGTTCTTACGACACCCATAGGATGAATAGGGGTGGTAACACCGTATTCTTAATCCGTCACTAGTCAAGGTTACAGCTAGTTCTTTACAGAATATTAATAATAATATGTGTATGTTTCAGAAAGTGACAGAAGATTTGTCAGCATGTCGACAGCAGAACGGTTCGGCCATAGACTCGTCCCGGCTGCAGTTCCGGGACTCTGAGAATAGGGTCGTATTGACGGTTGGTAAGAAAGAGTTCGGACATGTAGACCATCAGAAGATATTTAGAGAACCCTGGGTAAGTTCATTCTTTACTTACTGCTAGTAGAAAATTTTTGATTAGCTTTCTTTTATTGTGTTAAGAGGTTTTGATTAGGTTTTTGCGTTTGTATTGCGTGTGCTACGTGTTTTAAATACTACGCAGAAAACGCAGAACAACAGCATTGCAGAGAGAAGGAAAACTTGAAACAAACCCTATACCAACCCGTCTGGCCAGCGTGGTATAGTAGGCCAACACCTCCTTTCTAAGGAGAGGCCTATGTCCAGCAGTGGACTATTAAAGGCTGTTGATGTGAAAAAGCTAAAAATACTGTATTGTATTGAAATTAGGGTTCTAACATGGTAAAAACTGTAACAAAGCTTTCAAAGTTAAAAGTTACAGTGTATTGGATTGGCACAGCAGTGATGTGATTTGATACAAACTACAAAAAAGATTGGATGTCTTTTCTAGTTCTTTTTTTATTATTATCACATATCGTATGTTGTTTCCAGTTGCAGCGTTACGATCGCGAGTTGGAGGCATTACGTCCGCATTTGTACGAGTTTCCGTTGAAGTTCCCCCCCTCATATCCTTTCGAAGAAGACGTTCAACTTCCCACACACTATATGAAGACCAGGTAACAATATATTATTATTTTTCTTAGAAGCGCAGGAATCGAAATGACATTCGAAAATTTGAATAGCATTTCATAATATATTCGAAAAGAGAACACACAAGAATTTTAAATTAGAATAAAAAAAACGATTTAATAAGATACATATTTATATTTGAAAACAGAACATTCCAAAAATAAAACGTCCAAAAACATTTGCTTGCGATGCTTTTTTAATAACTATAAATAAAATTCAGTATCAAGTTACCTTTGCCTTAATGGAGACGGTTTCCTATCTTTGTCTTTTAGTTTAAATTTGAAAATAGAACCTTTAAGGAAACTACCCTAAAAAGTTTTGTATACAAACTTTTTTTTAACTGTAATTACTTTGTATTATCGAAAAGGGGTGGTCCCTGTTTTTCTATTAAATTTTGTTTATTGCACTGATATTTTTAAAGTAAATGGCCACATGAACATTGTTTGGAATTTAGGATTTGATTACATAGTATTTAAAATCTCGGCTTTAAACTTCCAATTGTGTATTTAATCCTAGTAATTGACCAATGTGTACTTTTCCTGAGACGGTTAGACGAGTCAAAAGGATGGGATTACACATAAAGATATTTGCCCATGCTTGAAAGAAATGATTAAATCGTCATCTTGTAATTAAAGCTCGAATATGGTATAGGTAAGGTATATGAAAAAAGAATTGCATTGTAATTTATATTTGGTAATAGTAGAGTCGTAAAAGCAAGTAACGAAATACAGCAGTGACCGGTTTCAGATGCCCGGCGTGGTGCGACCGCGTGCTGCTGTCTCAGGCGGCGCGCCTGCTCGTGCAGCACGACGCCGCGCGCCCCGCCGACACCCGCCACGTGCACGCCTCCAGGTAACGCACTACTGCTCCTTCGCTGTACCACTTTGATGGCTTCCCGCTCCGGATCCTTCGCTACTTTATTTTATGGCGTCCTACACCTTCGTACTGGGATTAATTCAAATTCAAATCGTTTAATTCAGACATAGTCCATAGGGTTAGTACAAACAAAGAAACTTACGAACTAAAGTTAGTAAACACAATAATTATTTTGGTGACCGGTGTGGTTATCTTTGCCCAGTGGCGCAACAGAGGGGAGTCCCACCGATCCGTAAACACCTTCAGGACACTGTTAGTAGCGGTGCGCAACCGGCCGGCCATGGATGCGGTCCTCTTTCTTAAGATTGCGTAAAAGTCGTCTGTGTGCGCCTCCGCAAACATACCGGACGCACTACAACGCCACGACAGCCCCAACAGCATCCTGAACGCGTTATTATATTGGACGCGCAGGTCGCTGTATGTCCTCTGCGTAAAACTGGTCCAAAGACTGCACGTGTAAAAGGACTGGCAGAATGCTTTAAAAAGTGTAACCTTTACTTGATTTGTACAGCGTGAAAATCTTCGAACCAGCATGTTACATCGAACAGCCAGCGACCTGCGCTCCCTCTCTATATCTAAATTATCCTTAAGATCATCAGTGACCCAATGACCCAAGTACTTAAATTTAGTCACCCACGTTAAAGGGGTGCCACATATCGTGACACCAGGGACATTTAAATATGTTATGGCCCGCGCTTTAAACATAATAAGTTCGCTCTTCTTGACATTGTACTTAAGCCCATGGGCCGCTGCATAGGACTCACAGATCGCCACAAGTTTCCTCAAAGCGCTGATCGATGGGCTCAGCAGCACCATGTCATCGGCATAGCTAATGTTATTAATACAGACGCCATCAATATGACACCCAACTCTGGTGCTGCTGAGGTCACTTATAAGCCGGTTAATGTAAAAGTTAAAAGAGACGGGCGAACTCAACCCCCCCTGTCTCACCCCGCACTCCAACCCATACACATCTGATTGAGCAGCTGCCCATCTCACACTATTTGTCTGATTATAGTACCAGTAACGAAACAAGGACGTAATTTCATTCGGTAGTGTCGTATCCCTCCGCACTCTATCCCATAGCACCTCGTAGGACACCAGGTCGAACGCCCTTAACAGGTCCAAAAAACAGGCAAAAACAGGTGTCTTTCTGGAGGTATAATATTGAACAGTTTGCTTGAGGCACAGAATGGCACTCTCAGTAGAAAGACCAGGTTTGAAGCCAAACTGCGCGTCATGGAGTTCAATATGTTTAGCCAACTGTTGATCAAGCAAACTGTCCAAGACCTTGGCGATTATCGTGGCCAACGAAATAGGCCTATAATTGGACACGTCAGAGGCATCCCCCGTCCTGTCCTTAATGACTGGTACTACCACAGTGCGCATGAGGCCCTCCGGCAGATAACGGTGGCTGAGACATAAATTAAAAAGCAACGCAAGAACCCTACACAGATATGCCCCAGCGTGCTTTAGGTGCTCGACGCTGAGGCCATCGTGGCCTGGTGACTTACCTCTTGCCATATTTTTAATAACAGTGGCAACCTGTTTAGCTGAAAACATTACGGCAAGTTCACCAGAACCCGCCAGTTCCCCTTCCTCGAACACCCGCCGCCCAGATTGTAACAAAGACTGGACTTTAAATTGTCTTTGGAAAAGGTTGGCGATCTCTTTCGGCTCGCTCTGACCCGCCACACTCACAGGGAGACTCGGCTTGACATTTAGTTTATTGGTTGATTTCCAAAACTTAGCAAACTCTTTTTTTAAATGACTATTAGCCAATATATCTAACTTAATTTGTTCTTGATTATTTTGAACAAATTTTAATTTAGTCTTAAATGTTCTCCGTGTTTCACGCATTTTCTCATATATAGGTCCCTGTGTGGGAGCACCAAGGGATAGCCACGTTTGGTAATACGTACGAGCCTCCCTGTGAGCATCGCTGACATATTTGTTCCAGCCTGTGACATGTTTACGTCGCTTGATGCGCTCACTACCGACATATGTACATTGGGCACCCTCTTGAAGAGTTGATACTATTTCCAAATACAGACTGTTTATTAATAATAAATGCTCTGAATTATTACACATTTTGTGAGAACAAGTAATACATTGTTCGGGCAAATCTATTAATTTTAATTTGTCATTACAATACTCATAATAGTCATTAATTTGTTCACTATTTCTTTCACCCCATCGTACTTTGTTACTATGAGGATTTTGAGTTGATAACATCTGGTTAATTTTAGTCAAGTTACATTCAAATAGGATAGGATAGTGATCAGACTGGTAAACTCCACTAATATTGCACACACGTCTGGATGTTTCTGTATACTATATGTTACTTTCGAAGTAATAACTTCTTATGGGAGGGTAAATCGCTTCGTTACGTAACGCGTTACGGCGCCAGTCTGTCTGACTTTCTCTCACGCATAGCGCAGCGGCAGGCAGGCTCTTCCTCTCTCACTCTAACCCACAGCACTAGCCGTATTTCGGACAGACGCTTTACATACAATTTAAGTAATAACCTAAGCTTTTCTAAAGTTAATTTCAATATTAAATAATTCAACTTAGATTAGTTTAAGTTATCGCTTCTATTAGACACGTTTTTTTATTATTATTTATAAACAGAACTAAGTAAGTTTATTCTGGTCCTTAAATTCGTGGTATAAGCTTTATTTATATACAACAATAATAATACATTTTACAGTAGGCCAGTTACTGTAAACTACATAGAGCATATAATATGGTAACTAGATTAGACGATATATTTTATAGCTAAATAGAACCTAGAAATATTGTATTCATCACAGAACTGTTGGTCCTTGATTTGATTTTCATCAGCAGGATCACTAGTCCCGGCCACGAATTGCTTTCAATAAATGAAGTTACTAAAGGACTCCCTTACCCTAATTCTGGACAAGTCAAAAGATGGCAATGCCTTTGTATGTTTATTTGTTGTCTACCATGTTGCAGCAATTTTTTTTTGCTCTTTAAAAGACAACTCCCACATCATCATCTGCCTACCCTTTTCCCAATTTTTATTTGGGGTCGGCGCAGTATGTATGATTTTTCCATTCTACTCTGTCATGCGTCATCTCACTGTTTACTCCCTTCCTAGCCATATCCTCCCTGACGCAGTCCATCCATCTCTTCTTCGGTCTGCCTCTTCTCTTGTACCCTTCAACTCTCATACCTAAAACTTTCTTCGCCACATATTCCTCATCCCTCCGCATGACATGTCTATACCAAGATAACTTATTACTTCTTAACTTTTCATCCAGTGGCGCTACTTTCAGACTCCCTCGTATATACTCATTCCTAACCTTGTCCATCTGAGTCACACCACACATCCATCTCAGCATTCGCATTTCGGCTACGTTCAGGCGTCTCTCATCCGTTCTCTTAATGGGCCAACTTTCAGAGCCATACAGGACGGCAGGTCTGATAATAGTTTTATAAATTTGTCCCTTCAGTGTTAAGGGGAAACTGGGGTCACAAGTTGTTCCCGTTACCTGCCGCCACTTCATCCATCCCGTATTGATTCGATGCTGATGATCACACAAATTGATCCCATGTGAGGGTCGAACCCATAACAACACTTCCCGCAGTAGGAAGCGCCGAGGTGACCGCTTAAACCACAACGCCATCCGTGCAGTCAAATGACATGACATTACACGTTACCGCGCCACGTATCCAACCCTTAGACATCTTTCTTATGTCTTTGGACACGATGTGTATCACCAAAGTGATAGCACATCTTAAAAAAATATGGTCTTTTACAGGAAGTCGGTGACGGATTCCACGGACAGCAGCGGGCGCGTGTCGTCCTCCGACAGCAGCCCCGCGCGCTCCGCCTCGCCCGCGCCCCCCCTGCCGCAGGTACGCGCTTACCCGCACACACACATACATACATACGTACATGTGTGGCGGAACGGGTGTCATGTGTTCCCACCGAGGGAGGTGATAACGCCTGGTGGGCGACCCAACAATATTTCCTAGCGCGATACAGGATTAGCAGTAGTCTGATGACTGACTGGAATTAACACGATTACTTAATGAGTTTTAACCAGATTGCAATGGCCATGGTCACAAACTGACCGTGTTTATCTTGTCCTAGGGCAGTCCCGGCAAGATCTTGGAGAAGAAGAGTAGCATGGCAGAGTTGGAGGTGCTATCGGTGCCTGGGATCAACTTGAGCCGGAAGAGTATTGCCGATCCTACCAGTGTGCAGCAGGCTATCAGTGCTAGGTAAGGTATCATTATAATCATCAACAGCCTTTACTAGTTCACTGCTGAACATAGGCATCTCCCAAAAAGGAGGTTTTGGTCTACTAAACCACGCTGGCCAGACGGGTTGGTATAGGGTTTGTGTCAAGTTTTCCTTCTTTTTGCAGTGCTGGTGTCCTGCGTTGTTTTGCGCCCTTAGTCGGCTCTTACGACACCCACGGGATGAATTGGGGTAGTGACATTCCGTATTATTAATCCATCACTTACACCGTCCGGGTGGGAATCGAATCCGTGACCTCTAGTTTTGCACAGATGACTGAGAGTGCGTGTGTTTGTTGTGCAGGATGATGGACAGCGAGTCGTCGTCCCGCCGTCGGCTGGTGCGTAACCAGTCGGAGGGCGAGGCGCGCGAGCGTGTCCGTGAGCCTGCGCCGCGCCGCCGCCCCGCCTACGGGGTCATCGGGGCCGACACCTGCATGGGCGACCACAAGGTACTGTTCCCCCCACCCCCCACGCGCTCACTGTTTATTACATTCATACAAATACTATAAATGTGAAAGTGTCTCTGTCTGTCTGTTACCTTAAACCGCTGAACCGATTTAGATGAAATTTGATGTACGAATAGTTTCGAGTCCCGAAAAAGGATATAAGTTAGTACTTATCACAGAAGTCATCCTTAAAGGGGGATGGAAGTTTGTATAAGGAATCGATAACCGCTGAAAAGATTTATATGAAATTTGGTATAGAGATAATTTAATTCTTGATTTGATTCATAGAACTACTTTTTACCGCGAAAACCGAAATAAAAATCTGGTCATACATACAATAGTATATCAAGTTAATGACCATTTACAAATAGCGGCCTTATCGCTAAAAAACAATTGCTTGCAGGCACCTTAAATGTTTTCAGGCAACCTTTGGATGGACAAATAGACTATAAATGGATGAATTTATGGGCAGTTTTAGTGTAAAAAAATGTAAAAGAATCATTTTATTTGTTTTTATTTATTTATACCATACTATACATTATTATCACAGATAGACCAATACAATAATGCAAGAATTACAATAAAAACAAACATATCTATGATAAAATGCCCAAAAAAATAAAAACGAGCTAATCAGTACACGATACATGGTCTTTGTGAACTCATTAAGCGAACACGAAGAAACGTCAACATGATCCTACAGCTCCGACCACTGAGCTCCCGCTACAGCAGACTGGTGCCGCCAATCCTTGGGCACACACACTGAGATCTCCTGTAGGATAGCTGGGTTGTGTCTCGAGTCACGTAACACTTTAAATACGTACGTGGCTAAAGCTACATCTCTCCTCACTTCCGACCTGTAATATCCCATCATGCATAAAACAAACACTGTGGGATACCACAATGGTACACACTTGAATACCTTACGATATTGATAAAAAGTAGATAATAAAGTCATATAATCATATATTTTATTACGTTCACACAACGCTATCTAGTCCCAAACTAAGCAGAGCTTGTACTATGGGTACTAGACAACTGATATAAATACATATATACTTTTTTTTTGTAAATACATACATATTATACATAGAAACACCCAGACCAAATCAAACATTAAATGTTCATGCACACAAATGTTTGACTTGAGCGGGAATCGAACCCGCGACCTTTGGAATAGCAATCCGTTACAAAAACCACTATGCCATCCGCTCGAAAGTAGTATTGCTTTTCGCCTACTCTCCAAATTCACATACCTTTGTTCCTTTTAATCGTTAATTAGCATATCTGGGAGACATTAATATATAGATATCTGAGAAGCATTGTACAGTCGCAAGTGCATTTGTGTGAGTGCAGATAAATAGTGTAGGTGTGACGTCGGCCTAGAGCGCGACGCGTCCTTTACTTGGGTTAAACCGGTTTATACTGCTTTTGTGCAATCGGCCTGAGGCACATTGCGTCCCTCGACGCAACTCCGCCGCGGGGCCTTTCTCACTTTACCTCTTGTACTGGTAGCAGCGTGACGTGTTTAATTCTTAATATTTTGTTTTTGTGTTCGATTTATTATTAAATTGGCTACCAACACAAATAAACGAAAAATACGAAAACCTTTTAAAAGCCTTAACTAAAACACCTGTCGAATATGAGTTCCAAAATTCTTATTAACTCCAGACGAAAAGGGCGGAGGTATTAACAAACTATTCTTTTGAAATCTCTGCAAGGAATATGTCATAAAAATATTCTTTTTTTAAATTGTCATGCATTAGTTCCTAATGTTCTTATTTTTAAAAAGTTGACCGATGGCCAATTGTAATATCCTTATTTATAAAATCCAGACCATATATAAACCCAGCGTGTGACTTAAATTGATTTACCTTACATAGATAAATATCACAAATATTAATTTTATATATTTGTTATTTTATATTAATTAAAACATTTGTTTCCACAGCCAATCTACCTACGCGTGATGCTGCAAAGCGACCGAGGTACATTAAACTGTTGCGACACAACCTTCCCCTGCACAATATGCGCCAGCGCCAACGGCCTCCCCTCCACCCTCTCTTTACTACCCCCCAGACTGTCTCGAATACCCACCGACCCGGATTTATACGTTCACAAGAAATTCAAACTCCCCGACATATCGTGCTCTCATCCAGACAAACTCACCGAAGAGTCCAAACTCATTCGTAGAACTCGAACCGGCTCTTTGAACGAAACGATGTTAAGAATTCCTCTCGTAGAAATCACTTCGGCGGACTACTGCAGCTATGATGGCATATACGTCAACGACATCGATAATACTTTACTCTGTGTCCGCCAATGCCTGGACCCTTACACCCCAGAGAGCATCGACTCTCACAGTCCAAACGTAGAAGCCTTGTCTGCAACCGAGTTATCGAATGAAGTTATCGATGCAGTAATAAAATCGACTAAAATAACCCGCGATAGAAGCGTTTCACCATCACAACTAAAGTCTCGTTTAGATGAGTTATTAAACAACAAAGACGATCAAGTTAAGACTATTCCGGAGTTGCAAAGATTAAATAGTAGAGAGTCTTGTAAGTCGGAGGGTAGTAAAAAGGGGGGTTTGTGTTGTTTAGCGTTGAAATGTTACGGTTTTTGTAGACGGCGAGCCCGAAAAGTGAAGTGTGACTGTACTGGCTTGACCAAGTGTTGCTCCTGAGCTTTGTAGTTTTGTAGGTATCGATGTTTAGTCGATTTTTAACTTTGAAATTTATTAAGTAAATAATTTTTGTATTTAAATTAATTTTGACAAACACATTTTAAAGATGAAAATCGACTATTTCTGACAATGCATTCTTTGTTTTTTTTATAGCACTGCAATAATTTTTATTATTCCAATCAATGTGGTTGTTGACCAGTATGGTAGAACTACCATAAACTGACACGCATGGAACTTAACGCATGTATTTTTTTAATGTCAATGTCTGAATCTTATTGTTAAAAGTTTCACTATTGTATATAAATAGTAACTTTGTGCTTATAACTAGTCGACTTTATTATAATCGCCTAAACCCCTTACTGCCTTATTACTAAACTATTACTTATTACTAAGAATTATTAGGTTTTAGAATTTTAAACCTAATAGTTTATTATGTTATGATTCATAATGAAATAGCCAATCAAATTTTACTAATTATTAATTGAATATATAAATTTTTAATACTAAAAGCGATCAATATACTCGTATATAAATAAATAAAAGAAATAAGGCACAGGGGGTGTTAGTTTTCAATGCAATATATTATTTTTATTAAAAACTTAATTAATATTATATAGGTGTTCACTCTTTTTATTGTTAAATGTTTACCAAATAGTTTATGATAAAATCTAGTCTGTATGCTCAAGTGTACATACATTCGGTATGGTATTTCTCATCGGTACTTTATATCTTCATTATTAAAACATGGATTAAATAAACTATAATTAAACCATGGCACTACTAATATTATAAATGCGAAAGTAACTGTCTGTCTGTTACAATTTCACGGCTAAACCATGCCACGGTGATACTTTGATTCTTGAAGAAAGATATGGGCTATTTTTTTTACCGCGATTACCGACATACACACGGGCGGAGCCGCAGGCAAAAGCTAATAATGGTGCTAATTCTGTTGTTCGAAAACTCTCTAAACTAAACTAAAAATCACTAAAAAATTGTTTCGTCCTATCAAATAACGTTTCCTGTTCTGAATTTGGCAGGACTAAAATTCTTTTTTAGTGATTTTTAGTTTAGTTTAGAGAGTTTTCGAACATCAGAATTAGCACCAATATTTCTGTATTTTAACATGGTTTGAAACTAGTTTTATGTTAGTCCACGTTAAATAATAAAGACGAGAGTTTTTAATTGGATTTAGTTATATATTTAGTGTATGTCTAGTTTCAAAATATTTCTTAGCGATTAATTTTGTGTCATACTATTCACAATCCTATTAGCCGGCTCGAAGGACCAAGTACTTAAAGCTTATCGATTAAAAAAACGAGCTTAAAATTGATTTTGTCTCTGTTACTCATTATTGGGAGCGAAATGATTAGGTACATTTAATAGTTGAACGATTTTTGAGTAAAATATAATTTGATCAAAGAACAATGGCAGGTCTCCATACAAAATAAAATATATTTGGAATCAAATTGCATCGTCTTGTAGTGAAAAAGAGATCAAGAAAATTCGACCTATTACATATAGAATTATTAGAATCTATGTGTTAAACAATTTTATTTGGGAAAGCCTCAGAAAAAAGATTTTAGAATTAGATTTTTAGGTTACGCACTGCATTATTTTTATCAGTGAACTATTTTATAACATAATACACACTATCTTACTACTACTACTACTACTACGACTATTTTACAACATAATGTTTTCTTTATTTTATCAATTTATCTTTGGCTATTGACTCTCAAATTTGGTTTCTGTATTTTTTTACACAATTAGATAATTATAACTTTTTGGTTAATGTAAGAGACGAGAACAGTATTCCATATGCGGCCGGACTTGCGCCTTATAGAGTTCGAGGCAGTGGACCGAAGTGAAATACTGCCTCGATCTGTTTAGCACACCAAGCTTCTTCGAGGCTAATTTGACCTTACCCTCTAAGTGACCCCGAAACTGGACTTTGCTTGATATGTCGATGCCTAGGATTCCTATACTGGCTGAGGTAGTTTTTTTTTCTTTTTAGATAACTGTCTACCTCTTGCATCACAAGAGTCTGTGGTTTGCTGTTTTTAATTCTCTTTTCGACTTAATATATTATTTGTTTCGGTTTATAACCGCTTTGCATGCTTTTATTGCGAATTCAAGTAAATGCGATCTTGTTGCAATATTTGCTAGTAGTTTGTGTGCATCTACTTTCAATATGCTTGTTCCAAGGCGTTGCTCCACCTGGTATCTTTGAGCCCCAAATACGCGGCACTCAAATATACTATTCAAGACGTCTTCCTCTTGAGCTGAGTCGCAGATACATGACGGGCTCTCCCGACACTGGAAGCGATGCAAGTATTGGGCCAACTTCCCCAATGTCCCGTGAGTATCTATCTGCGTAGCAACGCCTTGGGGTCAGATTTTCCGCACCAGGCAGTACACTCGTGATGGAGGTCTTGTGGCCCGACCGATATCGCCGGTTCCATTCGTCGAACGAGTCGCTGCGTATTTGTCGCTTGACGACTGAAACCTGGCACAGGTAGTAGTCGGGCTTCCTCCGACTCGAGATTGCGGCCTCCTTTCCTAACGTCGTCACCGTCTCCAGCGCTGCCCTCGAGTTGCTGCACCTGCACTGCAGTTGAGGATTTCACTCGGAGCTCTGTGTATAGCCAAGAGCTCGGCCTGGTATACTGTTCAGTTCAGTCCAGACTCTGGAACCTCAATTCCATACGCAGAGCCGGATGCGGTAGTTCCCGCAAATCGCCCCACGTGGTCTCCCAGCACTAGCCGAGTTGACCCTTTGACCCACCCAACTTCTCGATGGCGGGAGCATATGCGGCTGCCGCATACGTGATGACCGGTTCTTCTGTCGCGATGTATATTATGCGTACGACCTCAGGGTGCAGCCCCCAGCTTATTTTTGCTGTTCTGAGAGCTGTTTGTAAATATTTAGGGCTTTCCTACAGAAGTTGCCGATATGGACGTTAAAGATCAGCTTGTCGTCTATAGTAAGCCCCAAGATCTTCAGCTCTCGGGACAGGCTGAGGTAGTTAGAGAATTACTTCCAAACCAAGGTAATACTACAAAATGGTATCTTTTTTGCGGTGTGAAGAAGCAGTGTGGGTGATAGCATACAGCCTTGCGGGAAACCGGCATTTACAGATTTCAGGTCGGGGCACCGTCGATAACGACCTTAGTACTGCCGTCTGCAAGGAAACTGGTGACCCAGTTCTTAATTTCTCGAAAAACCCATAAGAAGGGAGCTTCGAAGCTTCGTAATAAGCGCCTTATGCCAGACCCGATCGAAGGTCTTCGCTATGTCCAAGCAAACCGAACAAGCCTCTCACTTGGTCTTAATTGCCTGTGCCCACCGTTGTGTTAGATAGACGAGAAGATCACCAGCGGAGCGACCCTGGCGAAAACCATATTGTCATTGAGTAGCTGGTGATTTTCTAAACCGTAAAAGTAAGTAACTACCGTAAAAGTTGGCAGTTGATTACGGATATTTCATATTTAGATAGATTTTTAGTTCAGATATTTCATAATCTTAGAGAACATGGGGGTTATGGCTATAGGCCTGTAGCCTGTAGCTTTTTTTGGGGATCGGGTGCACAAACGCAACCTTTCAGGAGATCGGGTCGACACCTAGGAAGTAGGAGAGTCGAGACACATCTTCAATACGATACAAGATGTGTTTGAAACCACTGTGCGCTTTTCAAGACACTTTTTGCCTCGCACAACTAATCTGTGGAACAAGTTATCGCTTACGGTATTTTCGGACCGATAGGACTCTCAAATCTTAAATAAAAGAGGGTACTCCTTCTTAAAAGGCCGGTACGGCTTGTGAGTCCTGAGCTGAAGGCGTTCATGAGCGGCAGTAGTCACTTTCCGTTGCTCTTCAAACTCTTCTATTAAAAAGAAAGGAGATTCCATCGGGCTCACTTGACTTATGAATATATAGGGAAAATAGTGATTTACGCACTGAATTTTGGGTGTACTGGATTTCCGGCACATAGCTCTGGCCCTGCGGTATGGTCGGCGGTACATTTCCCCCGTCATCCAAAGTCGAGTTCGACGTCTTCGTCGAGAGGCAAAGAGTTCACCTAGGAGATCGGCTTTCTCCTTGGCATCATGGGCTATCGTATTATCGTGTGCAAAATTGAATATAAAAAGGTAAAATCAATATTTTACATATATACAAACGGCCTGAGCTAGGTTTGAGACCTGTGTTTTAGGAACAGAATGAGTGTCCTGTGAAGGACATGGATTAACGCCGGTTTTCTTTGTTACCCAGTGTTAAGGATTAAAACGTCCTGCTGCTTGGGTGTCAGTCCCTTAGAGATAATACGTATATAAGCATCTATATATATACGTATATAACCGCTGCCCTCGAGTTGCTGTAGAGCGAACTGTATATTCTTCTGTAAGTGGTAGCGTACGGCCGTTAGACAGAGAAAGAAGGTTATTTTGTTCTTGCATCTCCCTCTACTCTTTGCACTGATAGGCTGATACTGAAGAGGGCATTTAAAGTAGCCAATCAGTGACAAGACCAGAGAGACTACCAACCTTATGCGATAGCGCCTAGTTCGCTTCATCAACTTTTATAAACTCTTTAGTCAGTCCAGTCCAGTCCAGATACTTAATATGTCATGATATCCTTAATCTAATGATTAGGAGGGACTCATGTTTTGCAGGTCCCGTAAACCGTAAACGTAAACATGATCTGACTACTTGCACATTAAGAAAATAGTAACTGACACTAAATATATCGACTAAATTCGAACAATTTATATAAAAAAGTATTTTAAGTCTAAACGCGCATATCATTAATTAATTAACTAATAATTGCAATCATGTAGTTACCATTGTTTGTTTTAATTTTAAAGTCACTGTATTATTTAAGACTGGCAACACTATTATAACTTAAATATTTTTTTTACATTGGCAACACCTACAATTTTACTTATCTAATATTGCAAAATAAAATAGACGTGTCACTCAAAGAATAATTTTATCAGTATCTTCAACAGCCTTCACTAATCCACTGCTGGACATAGGCCTCTCCATAGAAAGGAGATTTTGGCCTACTATACTACGCTGGCCAAACGGGTTGGTATAGAGTTTATTTCAAGTTTCCCCCCTTTTTGCCGTTGTCCTGCGTAGTTTACTCCCTTAGTCGGCTCTTACGACACCCACGGGATGAATAGGGGTGGTGACACTCTGTATTCTCACACTATGTATTCTAAAAACTTTATTTATTCATATCGTATCGTATGTGAAACTTGGAGTAATAATTCAATTGTCAGACGAAAAATATTAAATATGTTAGTTAGTTTATAAGTTTAACTTTCTATACTTCAAAATGGATTCTCAATTATTCCAATTATGACAAAATTCACGTCTGACTATAGTATAATTTTCAAATACCATCCCTTGCCACATGGAAAAATTAGAACAGAATAGTAATTGTCCTTTTTGGCTTTCATAACAATTTAACAAACTCTTGCAATTTTATCTAAAAAATATATACATACATACACGTTTATTTTCTAATAATTAAATTGAATTCAATGTTAGATAATTAGTAATTTTTTAATACACTAATAAAATAGTAAGGTGTTGCCATTGTGTACTTGATACGTAATTTGCGTATACTGTGTAAACCACTGAGTACGACGTGTGTACGTTAATAAACGTTTATATGCACTGAGCTAGTTTTTTTCTTTTGTGATATGTTTTGTTTTTGCCTCCTGCTATGTTCCTCGGAGTAAGGCTCGTGTTGTCTTAAATATTCGACTTTAAAAGCAAAAAAGTCCGTCATTTACAAACTGTTTTGGAAAATTCTAAGGAATACCATACATAATATATACTATATAGATATGTTTGGTCCCATTAGTTTGAGGTTTTTTCATTAATTTTATAATGAATTAACCTCAGAATTAACGAATGAAAAATACAGTTTTGTACAATCCATCATAAATTCATGATATACTTAAAAAAAAAGTTAATTATACTAAGTAATAGAGATAGGACGAGACTTACTCCAGAAATACTTTGTGCAAATCGGCTATTATTTTCCAGTGTAGTGTTGTACCCACGCTTGTAAGTATTTTATTTTGCTTATAGTTTGTTTAAATGAGTATTTTAAAAGTATTTAGTATTAATAAGCAGTAGAATAATTATTTAGCATTCGTTTTTGTTTGTCAGCATGTTTTTATAACTTTACATATTTGCAATATCGTTTTTTAGACTCAGCGTTTAGTCTTCAGGTTTTTTCATTATTTGTAATTCTTTATTTCAGGCAATTTTCGTCAGGAGTTTCATTCAGAATCATCTCCTAAACATATCAAAGTTGAAGAACACGATAACATGTCAGAACCTGTAGCTGATTCGCCCAATTCCCGGTACATACACTTCAGTATGGATAGCCCTAATAATATTTTTAAAGAAACCGATATATAAAAGAATTTATGTTAGTATTTGACTATACTGTGCATACTCAGTATAGTATTTTAAATATTTTTCATAATAAAATACGCCGAGATTATTATTAAAAATTCATCTTTGTTGTATATGTTAACATTTACTATATTTAAATAATTATATTTAGTGAGAATCTTAATGTTATTGAATATTTTAAATTATTAAAATATTTTTTAGTCTATACCTTGCAATGACATTCCAAAGATGTAATGTATTATAACAATAACTAGTTGTAATTATAAAACTAGTTCAGTTCTTATCGTCACTAAATATTCTATATTCGTTTAATATTTAATCTATAGATAATTTCTCACCGTATTATGTAAACGTAGTCTTACAAAAGTACTAGCTTTTAACAACTTTAGGTTTATTTAATTCATAGTGAATTGTCACATCTTTTATGTTCACTTCTGCAACTAGTGAATTGGAACGGAATTGTGTGACAGCAAAAAGCGCGCTAATTTATTCAACCAATGAGTGGTAGCTAGAGCTGGCTGTCAAATGGTATGTGAAATTTCAGATGTACAGACGCTACAAATGCGCCTTTTTTTTCTGTGCGGAAATCCCCTCGGATACCACCCACCAGTGGCTATGTCGGACTCGAACCGACTAAAAACCGCACGCTGTCTCGGGTACCAGTAGCCGGGGAACCAGATGTACCCTAGAAAGGAAAGCCCTGGTATCCCGCGACAAATGCGCCTATTGTAAAGCTCAATGGTTTTCTTTTCGAATGGGAACTTCTACGGGTCATCCGGACCCTGGAGTTGAATAATTAATAAAGGGAGTCGAACCGACTTCAACCACACATTATTCGTTACAGGTAAATCTAATGCGTTACTCGAGTGTAATATATAAATATAATATTTAAAATCTTTATTATCATTAAAGTCTCATGACTATTTTGATTTGTCATTTTATTTGTTGTTCTGTTGAGGCTTGCAACTACCACCTGACTAAGAATAACCTTAAGAAACACATGATGTAATCTTAGAAGTGCAGGGCAAACGTTTTATTTAAGTTTTTATATAAAGTATTTTCGTTAGACTACGTTTTGCAAATACTTTTACTAAATAATGAATACTTATACTAAATACTCATCTAGTCTTAATAGTATTATTTGCTACTTTCATTGTATTTGCTATTTAAGACCACTATTTAATTAATTTATTTCTTTAATTAATAATGTAAAAAAAAATAGACAAATTAACATCACAGGGTAAATTATTTGCCGTTTTAATTAATTCACATATTTTAAAGTAACATTATTGGGTACTTAAATATATTTTTAGGATAAAAGTTATATCTATACATAGAAATATCAAGTAAATACAAAAAAAAATATGGCCACATATAATTACAATATGGAGGTAGTTCTATCTTAGTATTAGATAAATATACTAACTTTTAGACTTTGACGTTGGATTACATAATATATAATTATGTAGTATGGTAATTAATACGATCAGGTAAAAGGTGTCCGTGTAGTGATGGATTAAGAATACGAAATGTCACCACCCCAATTCATCACGTGGGTGTCGTAAGAGCCGACTAAGGGCGCAAAACAACGCAGGACACCACCACTGCAAAAAGAAGGAAAACTTGACACACACCCTAAACCAACCTGCCTGGCCAGCGTGGTATAGTAGGCCCAAACCTCCTTTCTAAGGAGAGGCCTGTGTCCAGCAGTGGACTATTAAAGGCTGTTGATGTGATGATGATGAGGTAAAAGGTAACATCAGGTCGGGTAGGTATAGTAACTTCAGGCAGGCCTGAAGTTTCGACCAGGTTGCACTCATCTTGTTCATAGGCACGTTTTATTGCTTAATTAGTTTCGGACTCAGCGGGGCCCCTTTTTAAATGAATAAAACGTTCAGTCCAACCCCAGATCGAACGACGAAATGACGCCGGTTTTTTAAACATGTGTGCGTAGGCCATAATAATTTTATTATATTGAAAATATGGGTTTCTACGCTTACTTATGTTTGAAATGCGATTCCATCCTACTATCTATGTCTTGTAGTTTGATTTTTACGCCCTTTCACAACACAATTCGGTATTTTTACTTGTACATACTGTTGACATTTTTGATGACATTTTGACTGTCAAGGCGTGGTATCGTTCTAGGTGTGTGCGTGTAATTGTGTATGTACACGCCAAGAGTAGTTTTAACTGGCCTCACTTCTTTGTTCACAGAGTACCATCTTCATTTTTATTTATTTAATCTGAGATCACAAGGATGTCAAGCGTCACACTAATGATTATTTAGTTTTGGACCTGACGCGGGCCTCTTTTTTAAAGAGTGTCCTGAAAAACCTTTAATTAATTTGAATACCACTCATTTATATGTAATATCTATAACGTAACCGCATTAATTACCGTACCTGTACATAATTAGTATTATTAGAGTTCATTAGCGGTAGCACGATTAAAACACACAAATAGTTAACAAAGCATTGGGTTTATTGAGTTTCAGTATACAATTCTTGCCCAACCGGCAAGAATTGATCAATATTAAGGCACTTATTTCGTTTGTGTTTATATTACATTTAAATATTTTTTACTACGACGCAGTGCTAGGGGGTCTAGGGGGGATGGTAGCATTGTCTAGACACAGGCTGTAGACATAACCAAACCAGCGTAGAACGGATGTAGAAGCATCACACTATTTTCGATTGGGCGCAATTACAGAAGCTTGCATTGGGCGTATAAAAAGCTAGTTACGACATAGCTTTGGCGTGTCTAATAAACGTCTTCAATTTTACTAATGTATTGTAAATGAAAAAAAAAACAGATTTTTGGGTTGACTTTTTCGATATCAAATCAGTTTTTTCGGTGTTCACGAAAATATAAATATTTCGTGATAGTTTCTAATAAACCACCCATCTCGTTTTTGTTATTTTTTTAAGTCTGAAATAATTATTTTTTTAATCTCTTCGAATTTTTATTCAGACATGTTTTGGTATCACTATCATAACTTAAGTAAGACAAAATTAAAAGAAATATTTTGTTCCACTTAACTCCAAAACAATGCTTATAGTATTCTTCATTAATTCACCTACACATTCACACAAAAAAAAAATGTCAAACAACATTATAAATAATTAAAAAAAAATAGTGTCTAGTGTCAAAATTGTTCTTAGAAATATAAAACTAGGCATATATTATGATCAGTGTCTATTCATTATTGTCAATAAATGGTAAAAATTATAATTATATGATAAGTACATATATATATAATCCAAAGGTAACGTATACTATTCTGCTTGTCATTTAAAGTATCAAAATTGTTCGCATCTACTATATTTTTTGCTTCTGTGTGGGTAGTTGCTAGATTTTAAAAGTATTACATTCACTGGTTTCATATATACTCACCCTTATTTCCCCGAAGGCTAGACAGGGGCGTATTAAACGCGTGATAAAATAGACAGTCTATTGCCGTTGATGGTATGATGGGAACGCAACGGTAGGAAATGAATACTGTTTATATGAATGGATTCGGGAGTATGATCAGCTAACAAAGAACCTTAATATCATATCATTAAAGTGAATTTTAACGTACCTGCCATAGTATTTTAATTTTAAAAGATTTTTATTGAAGGTATCATAACATCACACACAACATTAAATTTACTAATTAACTATATAATGTCAACTAGAAATAGGTGTTAAAAATATGTATATTAAAAACTATGCTGATAATTAAATTATGTAACTAGTTTTCACGTATCTAAAAAAAAACAGGTATAATGTTAGTTTGTTTATTAGATTTCACTCCTTAACTACTGAACCATAACTTTATGCAACGTGTCAAGGGAACAGTAAGAAAAATAGTTTATCTTTCATCCAGAAAAAAGTAGGTTCTGTTCCTGAGGGATTGTTAACCTGTTTTTTTATAGTATGAGGGGTGGGGGAAGGAACAGATGAGTCACCTGATGGTAAGTGATTACCGCCGCCTATGGACACCTGCAACTCAAGAGTTATAAGTGCGTAAGCAAAAGTAACGTAAGATTGTTTAACACCGGTTTTCTGTCAGGCCGTGGTTTCACTTCGGTCGAGCCGGCCCATTTGTTTCGAAACCTAGCTCTCCCATGACTAAGTATGAAAGAAACGGACTAACTGACAAATTGACATCAACACTGGCAAAAATTTGTTTAAAGTATACCTTGATCATGTGAAAGCCTTGTGATTATAAAGTTGTAAAACCTACATTAACACAACATAGTAATTATTAAGTATAGATTTTACGGTTTATTTTTATTATCAAAATGGTGTTCATGAATATGTAATTATAAGCTTATTCTATTTTATAAAATTTTACTAACTTAAGTTATTTATTTATTAGTTTTAAAAACAATGATTTTATTCTTAAAAGTTAGTGACGTATACTACTAAAACTATTAAGGGCAACTTGCTGGTACTCAAATTTACATAATGTGTAACGTATTGGTGCGTTTTTGAGATTTTTTTTTCGTTTTCATAAATAATCGTTTTGTGAATTTTGATATTTATTGTCGTAGGTCTACTAAGTAAAAGCGTTGACTTTTGTCAATTACGTGAACGATGCATAATACACAGAGTACAGTATTTACAAAAAAATATACTTGTATGTCTGTAGTATCGAGTGGAGTGGAGAACCATTTCATATGGGGAGAAAGTTGAAAAAGTCCAGCTGTATACTGAAAATAGAGATTGCTGGCGCGAAAACTACGATATGAACATAGCTGTTGTGAAGCGTGCTGAGTTAAAATATTAAAATACTTTTATTATCTGAAAGTTATTACACGTTTATTTATTGTCTGTAAAACTTATTGCCTATTTTCGGAGCCTAGTACACAGTGTCTACTAATTATGTTTAAGCCAATTCTAAATTTATCCTAGGCTACCGCAGCGCCACCCTTATGGACGCGTTTTACGGACACTTTTCATACACCGAGATGGTTCTCCTTGCTGCTACAGTCCATATTCTGTAGATAACAAAA